ACGTTTCTCGCTTCACGGGCTTCAGCCAGCACCCCGTCTACGAGCGTCCGTACCGGTTAAAACGGTTGACCAAAACGCTCCTTTAGGATATCCCTTGCCATACCCTAGTTCTTTCGGGAAAATTACACCTTCTTCAATGCGTCCCAGGCTTTCCCGCAGCAATAATGCTTTCCTTTGAAGAAACTTCTGCCCCGGATGGACGACTCTGTACTGGACGAAGTTGGTAAACCCTCTGTTAAATCTCCAATAATTGCTGGGGTTTTACTCGAAGAATGTCAGCTTCACCCTGGGTAGATCTATCACCGGTTGACAGTACATTACTTCGACCGGTGGATGTTGAGCTACTTCAGGCATGAGTCTAATAGGTGGGATTTACTTTGCAGTCGCGGCGTGCTGAGTCGATCTGTGTTGACTGGCCTCGGGTTCCCTAAGCTTCATTGACCTAATCTCTCGCTTTAATTCGACTATCATAAATAAATGCGAGAAACCTTAACGTCTGCATCACAGTCTGGGGCACAAGAACTTCTTGTACTAACAGGACTACCTAGACTATAAATGTGAGAATAAGAACACCGCAAATCTCCCATTGACTTACCGGATGACTTCCTGTCCCTTCTCCTCGAACATTCCTTATACAAATGACATTCTCCTGTTCAAGGTTGCAAGAATTTTGAGCACTGTGCTCCCAAATGAGTCAACGAGCAACACGTAGCCGAAATTTGACCCCGAAACGACAAGAAAAACGATCCAGCAAGCTCCTACGGTATTGCATTATTATACGATCAAGTAAGCAAATTAAATATGTACAAACCTCAAAGTGACTTCAGAACAACTTGAAAACAAGAGCCACGTGTCACCGTGAGCGTACTCCAACAAATCTGAACGGAAGAAAATTATTCTAGATAAGAGTAGCACAGTCACCCTCATGCTGCACTCGAACGAGTCAAATGTGAGCGCTCAGGTCACGATTAAAACAAATATAGTAAGGATAAAGCCCAAAGAAAGTCAACTAATGGAGTTGATGGATAAATATACAACGGAGGTGGAATGTCAAAGGTTTATGTATGTATGAGGTGAATGGTATTTGTTGTATCACG